TATGATAGGTAGAACAATTAAGGATTTACACCACTCGTAATGTTTGAAAAATCTCTAAAAATTGCACGTAACTTCATGTACATCCTTAATCCACCGTAGGAAAAAAGATGGCGGCTGTAAATTTTACCACAATGCCTTGCAATAAGGCACAAAGAAAGCCAAATTTTTTATAACATTTGTCCCTGTTCTAAGGACATTGAGTAGCCTAGGTTTGAAGATTTTATGAAGTTTCTGTACGTTTTTATCAACGTTGTTAAGGTTTTCGTGCGCTAAGAACTATGGGTAAATGTACCAGTCGCCATCTTTTTTCCTACGGAGGACTGCACTCGCATTCTTACGATTACCTACACTTACTCCGAACAAACAGTCAGTTTATTTTTAAACTTTGAGAAACACTTTGAGAAACAGGAAACAAAGTCTAACACAATTAGGCCTCTGATCCTGGGCAGGCATCAAAGAACACGAAAAAACCCTACACCCCATCCCGCCCCCCATTCTCCCCGCTTACTGCTCTCCCTTCTCGCTTCCCTTTCTATTTGTATTTTGTGACAGTGCAATACCTTCATAAGATCATTGACCACCACTGGATCAGCGCCAGGTTTAAGAGTCGTCATCAGGTATTTTGACAGCTGTTCGTGAATTGTTTTCTTATTGTCCAGAGTCTGCTCGGTGATGAACACGTACTGAGACGAAAAAAAAAGGCAAAGTAGCTCAACAAAAAGAGTTGACTTCAGTTTACCTATTTTAAGGTCAGATACATAAACAAAAACTGTACAAGTGTATAACAGGCGGTCAGAGAAATCTGCCGAAGCGAGTCGGCGAAACGTATTACAACATTTAAGAACAAGATAGTCCAACATGCAAGCAATACATAACGAAGCCAAAGGAAATGTGAACTAGTATGTTGGCACTCTTAGAGCTATACACACCTTGACATAAGATTTCAAAGCCTCCAGTCGATTAACCCCGTGAAGTTGTGCCGTTATGCGAATCAGCACCCTGAAACACCACAATAAGTGCGCAATTAAAATTGAAATTACAAGCCCTGCTTAAAACTTAACATAGCTAAGGTGCAACTACGCGTACTAATTTATTGGCACGTGCAAAATTTATTT